ACCCTTCTCTTGTTAAACAGCTAGAAGATGATGTTTGTTCTGTTTATTTAATAAAATGCAGGTTGTCCAACTAAGTTTATTTGGAAATTGATATCAAACACTGGCATTGCAACTAGTAGCCAAAGGGCTAGGCACCTGTTCTCCTTGAGGACATACACGGAGTACGCTGGGGGCCGATTGATGAGCTAAAATTCTCTGCGTCATACAAAAACCTGAAATCGGTGAACTTGTCACAGCAGTCTTAGTCATATGGAAACCGTAGCCAGTACAGCCTCTAGACCTGGTCAGGAATAGAAAGAGAAGGAGACGGACGCGCCGGCGGGAAGGACATTGTACTCTGTACAAGGCTGAACAAATTAGCGCCTTTAGAGCAGCGTCCGATATGAGAGTGGGATATGCGACGAAACACCTTGAATACGAGAATGCCTGTGTCATCCGTGAAGTTGACTGGTCGATTTTTATGGCTGTGACTGGCGGAGAACCAGATGGCTATTGGTGCACGGCCGCATCGTTTTGGCAGACGTTCGGAGTATGCGCTAAGAGTTCGCCAAATCCCTCTGAATGTGAATTTATACAATGTTGACCGTCCGTTATTCAATTATAAATAGTGTGCGTATATTTCGTGTGAAGATACTGAAATTCGGGTAAAAATCATTTATATAAACTTGCAAGCTGGACCAAAAAAGGCTTATCCCGAGGGTTCTGTCTTACACTACTTTCTGAAGAAACCAAAAACATGTAGACTTTAAATTTGTACTAACAAACCTTTCCAATTTTTGAACGATTTCCTTTAGAGAATTTTGCATCATGATGGTACTGTAATAGAAAATGCGTACCCTTTAAATATATTAAGCATGATATGTGAGAGACCCTGAGAGACCTTGAATGGATAATATATTGCCAATACCGTTTTAAAAAAGCCTATTGTTAATACTGTGGGCTTTTCTTAATGTAGTGCTGGTTTCGTCACCTGAATAGACGCACCCGAGGTCAGAAGCTATGTCAAAGCACAATCACATAACTCGGTTATTCTTTATATGGTTCTATAGAAATAAACAGTAAGGTTGACAGTGCCCGATAGGTAAAAAATGCGAGATATAAATCAAAAGGGGAGTGGACATACATTCGAGGTGCTTAGACGAGCAGTCGTGTGAATGACGCAGACGCGTTGCTGCCCGTTTATAAGGGGATAAGCACACGGGGCAGGAGTCACAGAGAACCAGGGGGCGAATAAGGAAACGGGAATAAATATCGCGCTATGCCAACGAATGGGAAGGCAGTCGACTAGATCCAGGGGTCAAGACATGCGACAAAGCACGTGGGCACAGGATGTGGGACAAAAAACATTGGGCACAGGACATGGGATAACGATGGATGACTAAGCGGGCTTAAGGACACATGCTTTGGCTAAGTCGGGTACCTAACACGCAGGTAGCGGCAAGTAAAATCCGAATAGGACCTATATTACAAATTTTACCGCAGAAATAGGACTATTCTTCACTCATTCCGTACAGTCAACTGAATCCGTTGTTTATCTGGGCTACTTGATGTCATCTTCAAGGTAACATCGAAATGCGTCAATCACAGTTGCCGCAACGTTGCCTTTTGGCCCAGCGACAAGTAGCAAGCCTGCACGCGTGAACGCCTGCTCTCTGGGCAGCGGGGATTACTGCAACTAGACCGCACTTGGAACCCGCCCGGCCTCCTGGCTGGTCGTTAGATATCTTCAGATTTCTT